GTTCTCTGTGTTTGTGCACATGTGGTTCTGTGTGTGTGTTTGTGTCTGTTTCTCTGTGTGCATGTGTATGTGTCTGGTTTTCTCTCTGCCAACCTTTCTCTGAAATCAGGCCTTTTCTGTTCGTTTATATACGGAATAAGTCAACAGCTATGTTCTTGAAGCATGCAAGTAGGATATAATTACAGAAGGCAAATATGATACTGGAGTATTGCTTCAATCATGGTATCTCCTGAACTTTGAATATATTATCCCCTCAAGGGGCTTAATAGTCAGCCGTGGCAGACGTCTGATCTGTGTGTGTCTGCCTTTGTGGGACTTCTGGTTCAGTTCCTCACCTCTGCCTGTTGGAAATAAGGCATTGCGTTCCAATGCACTTGTGTAGGGGAAAGGACGCAAGAACCTGGCGTTCTTTAGGCAGTGTTTGGTTGGGGGGGTATAGTATGTTACTAATTTCGTTTGATGTCTGATACTGTTGCATATTTAATTGTTTGTCATGGTGATTCAGCAAAAACATCAAACTTCTAATGTGGGGAAATGCTTGAGCATCCTCACTTATTATTATTCTTTTTATATTGAGGGAAAAGTCCTTTCAAGCCTACTTTTAAGTGAAAGCTCTTTGCTTGTTTGTGGATCATAATAACAAATAGCAAACCAATTTACTTACCCGTGGCTTACATGCTGCATTGTTACTCTGTGTTCCAAAGTCACTGGGTTTGTATGTAATGATACATTTTAGGCATAGAAAACATGCATGCTTTTTTGCTCACTCTTATATCTTGGCTTTCTCCCTTTTTTTCTTTTGTGCTTTGCAGTCTCCTAGCATTGTGGCTAACCCCCACTCCCTTTTCAGCTTCTGTGCCTTTTGAACATGGGTTTGTCCATATTAAATCCAGCTTCACTGAATGAGATGAATTTTGCCTGAGGCAGCTGAAGCCTGAAGGTTAAGACCTTATTAGCTTAGCTACCATTTGACTGCAGTCCATAGGGTGCTTTGTGTGTCAGCACTGAATTTGAGAACTCTGTTGCTATGTGGATAACTAGTATGTTCATCTGCAAGTCTCCCTAAAACAATTATGGGTCTTGGTATGTAGTTTGTTTCTGATACAAGGATGTGCATTTTAAAAGCCTGCTAAACTTACTTTCAGAGATCCATTGGGCTTCCCGATGTCCATTCTGGCTATGGGTTTGCTATTGGCAACATGGCTGCCTTTGATATGAGTGACCCAGAGGCAGTGGTGTCACCAGGTAAGACTAACTTGAATCTGATCTAATCTACCTATTGGAAATCCTCCGAGGCATTTTTTCTTGCTTTTAGAGATTTCCAGGTCTGTAAGGTAAAGTGAAAAACAAAACATGTTAATAGTGACCCAAAAGGCTTTTTCTTTACAGAGTCCTAAGTTTCTGCACATAGACACCTGGGTATCTGTTATGAAGCAACTCATTATATCCAAACTGCCTACACTGTGAAGGATTTTTGCCCTCCTTGTACTGCCTTGCTGTCTGGTTCACTGAGGGGACAACCTAGAATTCTGAGCTTTTTCTTTAGAGCATAAAAGAACATGGGTTTTTATTTTCAAGTATTAAAATGCATGTCCTTTTTGGGTTGTGTTGAGGATTTAGAATCTTAAACAGGCAAAATATTGAAGGGTGTTTCAGTTGACTCCTATTAACACTATACAGATATTTCTGCGCTGGCATTCAACAGTAGCTCTGGTCTTTAAGAGTTAGGGATTGGCTTACACCTGAAATGAGATTTATTTATTTTTTTTTTTTTTTACCCTTTTGGAAAGGGTTTATATGGCTACCAAGAATACCTGGAGTTGCTATTAGCTATGGTAAACATCTAAGCACTTCTTGAATCTTAAGTTTTTGGCCTCATCATCTTTCCTTGGTACAAAATTCACAGTTCCTTCCTGATGTAACAATTTTTTTTTTTTTAAACTTTCCACCTAACTTCATCAGATTGGCCCCTTCTTATGTGACAAGGAGAGCAGAAGCCTTTGATCCACCTTCCTCTGACCAGCCCTTATTTCAAAGGTTCCCAACCACGAGCCACGAAGGGTTGGCTGCTGGGTCGTGGCATGAGGCCCCCGCTCAGACCCCCATCTGTCCGCCTGGGCAAGCGACTTTCAATGCCAGCAGGCACGTTCAGGATTAAAACTGGGGGTTGAGGCAGCCCGTTTGATCAGTCCCAGGCCGCAGGAAAAGAAAAAGGGTTGGGAACCGCTTCCTTATTTAATAGATACAGATCCTGTACTCTGTTTATCTTAGGGGAGATGCAAAAAAAAATCTCATTCTTTCCAGTCTCTCCCTTTTTAGTTTTTTCCCCGTGTTCTTCTCGTCTCAGTACTTTGCTGATCCCTTCTAGTTCTGCAATAAAGTATCGCTTAACATAACCCAAGAAGGGTGAACTCTCATGCCAGTAAGAGAGCTTGCTCTCTGACTTTTAGTTACTGTTGACAGCAAATTAGAAGTTACCTACCTGAATTCAGACTTGTATTTTTAAATAGTTGCAACTGAACATGGAAAAGCCTGATCTTGGTAGGGTGGAAGGCCAGTGTGTTGTAATGTGTTATGTAGCTTATGTAACACTGTTCTAGTGGTTAATAAGGTAAAAGGTTTGTGGAAGCTTGGATGTACTTCTTGTACCCTGATCTACTACAGCATCCTTGCAGCACTAAGTGAAGGAGCTATAGCCTCTGTTACGAGTGTTCCAGAATTTACCGTCTTTAGGTGGTTTCACCATTAGTTTGTCAGGAGCCTCAGGACTGCAGGTAAATTCCTTGACATGGAGCAGTCTACAGCTGTTCTTTCAGAGGACCAAAGAAGGCCTCCTGTCCCAGTATACTGTCAAGAAGCACATCATCATTAAATATGATTATGGGAGAAAATTGCAGCCTAAAACTTTGCCTCACAAATAAGCAATACTCTGTGAACTGTGTTTTTATTCAGGGTGTTACACTTTTTTCAGGTGGTGTTGGTTTTGACATCAACTGTGGTGTCCGCTTACTGCGTACGAATCTGGATGAATGTGATGTACAGCCTGTGAAGGAACAGCTTGCTCAGGCCATGTTTGACCATATTCCTGTGGGTGTGGGCTCCAAGGGTGTCATCCCCATGAATGCCAAGTAAGAAGATGACTTTTGGTGGGTTGCTGGGTTTTTTGTTTGTTTTTTGGGGGGGGGGTTTATGTGCTTCTTAGGGATGAGGAGTGCCTATCCTTTGCAAACCCCTTAACAAAACAGGTGAAGAGTTAAAAGGAAAATGAGGGAACTTATTGACCTGTTTAGTTGCTTCTTACTTCTCCCAGTCCCCACAGGCTGAAATAATCATTAAAGCACAGACCTAGGGGTTCTCTAGAAGCCTGAGGATTGGTTGAGTGATTTGAGTTATCACTCTTCCTAATAGAGGCTTTCTGTAATAAGGGCATAGACAAATGTGCACTTGGAGTGGTTTCCAAAGGGGAGGGGGAGTTGGTGCTCTCATGCCAACTTTTATGTTAGAGTAGTGTGCCACAGACTCTTGTGAAGTGTAGCAAGACCTCCAATTTCAATCCTAGGTTAAAGTTGGACAGTTCAGCTCACTTGTCTACAGGCTTATGCAACAAGTTGAAGCATAACAGCTGCTCTGTTCCTGAGCAGCAGCAGTGGCATCTTCCCTTCTGAAGCTGCTCCAAGTGTGCACTTGTCCATGACCAAATGCAGGCAGCAATGTTGAAGGCAGCTTTCATTCTAGTAAGCAGGAGAGGACATGCTGAATTGGCAAACAGTTTTAATAGCAAGTGTCTATAGTCTTTGCTTTTGGGTTGTCAGGAAAGGCTTGGATGACAACCTTATTTCACACAGCAGGGGCACTTACTGCTTATGCTTATTTAAGAGCTTGATGGATGCATCTTGATTTGCAGGGACTTGGAAGAGGCCCTGGAGATGGGGGTGGACTGGTCTCTTCGGGAAGGATATGCTTGGGCAGAGGACAAAGAGCACTGTGAGGAATATGGGAGGATGCTGCAGGCTGATCCTAATAAGGTCTCTTCAAGAGCCAAGAAAAGGGGGCTGCCTCAGGTAATGTTACTTGTGAAGTGGTGGTAAGCTCTCCTAGCTTTCTCATGAAAAAAATGAGTAAGTAGATCCTGTCATTTCCATGCCTTATTCCCTGTCAGCCCTCAGGGTGCATCTATCAGTCATCAGAGGGTTTTGTTTTTAAAGGTGTTTTCTCAGAAGCGGAATAAAAGAAACATCACCACAGAAGTGTATTGCTAATCCTACCTATGTATTAAAATAGGTTATAGCAAAGAGCTTGTGAGGCACCCTCCCTTTATGTTGATAAATAGCCAGTATGGGCTGTTTGATTCTATGGCTATTAATCTTTGCCAGCCCCTTAACAATTGCAGTTACTCTAGAGGTTTGGTTTGTTCCCCCCCCCCCCCCG